GCCCGCGTCGCCAGGGTGCGCCGCAGGAGAGGTGCCGCGTGCAAGCCGAAGGTAGCCCCCAAGATCCCGAACGACATGCGCGACCTGACCCTCATCCCCCTGCGGGCGACCTACCAGAACACGAGGCAGATCAGGGGGCTCAAGGGTTGCATGCATCATCGCGACCGTGAAGGTCAGCGACACGGACCCGCTGGTGGAAGCGATCGAGCAGGAGAACCGCAACTACGCTCGGGCCATTCGCCGCGAAGGAGAATCACAGGGAAGAGGCCCGCCAGCGCCGGGCGCCGCGATGGCTATGATGGAGACGCTGGCTCAGCAGGACATCGGCGCGAATAACAAGGGCGACTTCAACGCCGCGATCGAGCGCGTCAGCGCCATGGGCTAGTACCAGGTGCAGGACATCTTCCCGATCTGCAAGGTCGAGAAGGCTTACAAGAGCGGCCGGGCGAATATCCTCTTCAACTGCAGGGGCCACGAGACCAGGCAGTGCATCATGACAGCGCTCCACAACGCCGGCAAGGCCGCGTGCGTGGGCCCAGCGCCAGCGGGGTTCGTGGAGGACAAGCTGGCCCTCTGGATGGATGCGCTGATGGTCGAGATCTAGACGGGGCGACAGCGCGCCTCCCCGCGATGCCCACTTGCTTGCCCATGGGGGGCCCAAGATGGCGCTGGCGGGGAGGTGTCGCCCCCTGCCGCGATGCCTGCCTCGCGCTGGCCCGTGGGGGGCCGTGAATTTGCTAGCGGGTCGAGGCAAACAGAATTGCCCGCTAGGCAGCTGCCTCCTCCCGCGAAGGCTCTGCACGTTGGCCCGTAGGGGGCCGTGCAATTCCTAGCGGGAAGAGGCAAGCGCGACTGCCCTACAGAGCCTGACGGGGAAACGACTGCTGACGATGCCACCATCACTAGCGAGTCCATCAGGCGCCTCTGCGTCGAGCGCGCGGCGAGCCAGTCTAAGGCCAGACTGCCGGGCGCCACTGTCGCCCGCGCTTTTATAAACACTTCGGGGCGTTGCCTAGAACAGGTGCGCCCGCCTGCGCGTGTGGAGCGCGCCAGGCCGGCCGCGGGGGGGGTCGTTCAAGGCGACCCCCCGGGCCCATGTTGCCCCCGCGGCGATGCTCCCGTAGCTGTGCGTGCTGGCTCTGTTTGGAAAAAGGCAGCGCCCCGCCCGCCGCGCGCGTGCCCCCCCAGGCGCGCCCTCTCGGCTGGCCGGCCCTCTCCTATCCATAGGGTCAACCTAAGCTTAACGGGCACTTATGCCGCGCTCATGACTTGGAGGGCTAGATCCCCTACTTCACCCTCACCGAAGATAAACGTGAGCAAAAGGCTTCAAGTATATGATGAAGCACAACCCATCAATATGGTTAGAGAAATGCCAATGTCTTCGCAGGACTGGCAACATATTTAAAGGAATAGATAGCTATAGGGCTGTAGGGCTTTAGGGCTACAGGGCTATAGGGCTATAGCGCTATTGGGCCATTGGTCTATGGCGATTGGGCTATTGGGCTATTCGTCTATAGGGCAATAGGGCTGTAGGGATATAGGGCTATAGGGCTATAGGGCTATATAAACTATAGAGCTAAAGGGCGATAGGGCGATCGGTCTATAGGGCTCTAAGGCTATAGAGCTATAGGGCTATAAGGCTATTGGGCTATAGGGATCTAGGGCTATAAGGCACCCGGGCACTCGGGCACCCGGGCATTTGGACACCCAGGCACCCGGGTGCCGGGGCACCTGGGCGGGCCGCTGAAATCGGCGGCAAAACTAACAACACCAAAGGAATCCGCTAGGACCCTTACATAAGCACTCTGATTGGGGAGTGATAGCAGTGATGGTAATATTAATACTTGTAATCGTATTATGAACAATAGGAGGAGGAGGAGGAGGAGGAGGAGGAGGAGGAGGAGGAGGAGGAGGAGGAGGAGGAGGAGGAGGAGGAGGAGGAGGAGGAGGAGGAGGAGGAGGAGGAGGAGGAGGAGGAGGAGGAGGAGGAGGAGGAGGAGGAGAGGAGGAGGAGGAGGAGGAGGAGGAGGAGGAGGAGGAGGAGGAGGAGGAGGAGGAGGAGGAGGAGGAGGAGGAGGAGAGGAGGAGGAGGAGGAGGAGGAGGAGGAGGAGGAGGAGGAGGAGGAGGAGGAGAGAGGAGGAGGAGGAGGAGGAGGAGGAGGAGGAGGAGGAGGAGGAGGAGAGAGGAGGAGGAGGAGGAGGAGGAAGAAGAAGAAGAAGAAGAAAAAGAAGACGAAGAAGAAGAAGAAAGAAGAAGAAGAAGAGAAGAAGAGAATAAGAAGAATAATAAGAAGAAGAAGAAGAAGAAGAAGAAGAAGAAGAGGAGGAGGAGGAGGAGGAGGAGGGAGGAGGAGGAGGAGGAAGAGGAGGAGGAGGAGGATCAATAATAATATTGATAATAATAATACTAATATTAATAATAATAGTAATAATATTACTAAGACATATAATAAGAAGAAGAATGTTAATAAGAAGAATAAGAAGCACAATAAGCATACTAATAATAATACTAATAATAATAGTAGTAATAATACTATGATTAATAATACTAATATTATTATTAATAATATTATTCACAATATTAATAATAATACTAAGAAGCAGAAGACTAATAATAATACTAGGAAGAAGAACCATACGAATAATATTATTAATACTAAGAACAAGAAGACGAACACTACTACTAATAATAATAATACTAATAATAATAATAATAATAATAATAATAATAATAATAATAATAAGAAGAAGAAGAAGAAGAAGAAGAAGAAGAAGAACAATAGTAATAAATAAAACAATAAGAATACTAAGAAGAATGATAATACGAATCAGAGGAGGAGGAGGAGGAGGAGGAGGAGGAGGAGGAGGAGGATGAGGAGGAGGAGGAGGAGGAGGAGGAGGAGGAGGAGGAGGAGGGGAGGAGGACGAGGAGGAGGACGAGGAGGAGGAGCAGGAGGAGGAATACAATTATGATGAGGAGGATGAGGAGGATGAGGAGGATGAGGAGGATGATGATGATGATGAGGAGGAGGAGGAGGAGGAGGAGGAGGAAAAGCAGGAGGAGGAGGGAGGAGGGGGAGGAGGAGGATGATTATGAGGAGGAGGAACAGGAGGAGGAGGAGGACGAGCAGGAGGAGGAAAACGACTCAGCAATAAATGTTAATAAATGTTACGAATCGTATCAAACAGGAATACTAGTAATAGTCGTCGTTATCAGAAGAATATTGCGATAATCAACATTCGAATCGTAGTAAGAAGGCGAAGACAAGTATTATTAGCATTACTAAGCAAACTGAGACCAATCATGTTCAACATGCTGAGGTCTAACGATAATACTAATTTTCATACTATGCAGCATACAATGAAGAAACGCAAAACGACGATTCATACGAATCCTAAGACGAATAATGCTCAGAAAACGCGTGCTAACATTCAAACGAATAATATTAATATTATTAATCATCATGATACGAAGAAAACCCACACTAAGACGCAGTAGAAAAAAACACTCGTACTAATATGAATGATACGACTGGGAATAGTACGACTACGAATAATAGTAAGACCGCGGATGCTAAGAACACGAAGGGTACTATTACTATTTATAGTAAGACGGTCAGTATGCATAATAATGATAATAGTGTTATTATGCACGATACTTTGAGTAATAACATTAGTCATGCTACTACAACTAATCATACTACTAGCACACATGATATCAAAACTAGTGCTGATACCGGAGGATCGCCCCAACCAGAGTCTTTGCAGGGGTAGGGCTATGGGGCTATAGCGCGATAGGGCTGTAGGGTTATAGGGCTATATGACTATGTAACTATATGGCTATAGGGCCAGAGGGCTGTAATCTATAAGAGCATAGGGCTATAGGGTTATAGGACCGCGGGGCTATGAGCCTATAGGGCAATGGGGCTATAAGGTTATAGGACCAGTGGCCGTAGGGCTACAGGGATATGGGGCTATGGGGCTATAGTGCTATAGGGCTACAGGGCTATAGGGCTGTAGGGCTGTAAGACTATAAGGGGTATAGGGCTATAGGGATAAAATGCCTATAGTGCTATAGGGCTATAGGGCTGTAGGGTTATAGGGCTATTGGGCTATAGGGCTATGGGGTTATAGGGCCATGGGGCTATAGGACAATTGGGCTATAGGGCTACACGGCTATATGGGCTATAGTGCTATATGGCTATGGGGCTATAGGGCCGTAGGGCTTTAGGGCGAGCGGGCTATAGGGCTTTTAGGCTATATGGCTATAAGGTTATAAACCACAAGGTTATAGTGCTATAGTGCTATAGGGCTATAGCGCTATAGGGCCAAGAGGCACCTGGGCACCCAGGCACCTGGGCACTCGGGTACGCGGGCACCGTGGCTGGCCGCGGAAATCGGCGGCAAAGTTAACCTAACCATATGAATCCGCTGAGACCCCAACAGAGGCAAACTCTGATTGGGGAATAATCATAGAAATCATGACAGTAATCCAAGTAAGAACAATATAGGGAGGAGGAAGAAGAGGAGGAGGAGGAGGAGAGGAAGAGGAGGAGGAGGAGGAGGAGGAGGAGGAGGAGGCGGAGGCGGAGGCGGGGGTGGAGGAGGAGGAGGAGGAGGAGGAGGAGGAGGAGGAGGAGGAGGAGGAGGAGGAGGAGGAGGAGGAGGGGGAGGATGGGGAGCAGGCCTAGTTTACAACTCCCGAGTTCGGCCTCTCCTCGTGGGCCCCCCCGCCTGCCCCGCGATGGGCCACTGCCTCCGCCCGCCCGCAGCAGCGTGCCCCGCCCCGGCCGCCGGAGCCCCCGCGCTTGTCCGCCGTCGCCGTCTTCGCCGTCTTCGCCGTCTTCGCCGACGCCACCGTATCCGCCGTCGTCGTCGTCGTCGTCGTCGTCGTCGTCGTCGTCGTCGTCGTCGTGGTCGTTGTCGTGGTCGTCGTCGTCGTCGTCGTCGTCGTCGTCGTCGTCGTCGTCGGCGTTGTCCTCTGCGTGACCCGAGCAGCGATGCCCTTGGCCCCGGGCCGCGCCCCAGACCTGGCGCTCGCGCTCCGCGTCGCCGGCCTGGGGGCCCTCGCAGGCAGCGCGAGGACCGTGGCCCTTGGGCTGTACAGCCGCTATGGCTGGTTCACGGTGGCGTTCCGGTGCCTGATCTGGGGTCCCGTGTCAGGTGCGGACGAGGAGAAACCGGTAAGGCTTCGGGTTGCGCACAAACAGCCCCTCCAGGTAGTCCCGACTGGCCCCAACAGGCCCCACGAGCAGTCTGGGGCGGTCTCAACACCCTGGTACCGCCTCGGACTGTTCGGAGGGCCTGTTCATGTCAGCCGGGACTGCCTGGGAGGGTTGTCAGTGCGCAGGCCGGGAGAAATATCCTCACCGTCAGTCAACAAGGAAACGTACCATCACCGCCAGTCTTGCTGGGTGCCTCCAGAGGGGCCCAGAAATGACGACGCGGGGGAGGTGGGGGCTGGCTTCGTCGTGGCCTGGTGGCAAGGAAGGACACCCCCAACCCTGGTCCCAGACTGGGGTGGAGATTTCTTTCGTGGCTGCCGCCAGGGGTGCTGCCCTTCTCGCTCGCCCTGGTGTTCCTGAACGCTCGCTGTTGGCTCCGCGACCGCGTCCGCAGCGGCCACGCCACGGGCACCCAGTGGCTCTGGAGCGGCGCGGCGAGCTGCGCGCGCCTGTGGGCCTTCATGGAGGTCATGCTGGAGGCTAGTGCCGGCCCGCCGGCTCTGAGCAGAGGGGACTCGTAACGATGTCCCTGGGATGCTCAGGCGCCCAAGGGAGGAGGAGGAGGAGGAGGAGGATTTGGAGGAGGAGGAGGAGGAGGAGGAGGAGGAGGAGGAGGACTGAGGAGGAGGAGGAGGGGGAGGCTCTTGCAACCGCCTGCCTCTCGAGGCGGCCGGCTTCCCTCACCTCATGGTTCGCTTGCGCGCACGCGTGATTGTCGGACTCCCTTTGCTGGTGTCGGGAGAGCGATACAAGGAGGAGGAGGAGGAGGAGGAGGAGGAGGAGGAGGAGGGAGGAGGAGGAGGAGGAGGAGGAGGACGAGGAGGAGGAGGAGGAGAGGAGGAGGGAGGGGGAGGAGGAGGAGGAGGAGGGGAGGAGGAGGAGGGAGGAGGAGGAGGGAGGGAGGAGGAATGCCTCCCACCCCGAGTAAGACCCCCTCCATTTCACAGTGTCCATGTCGCGCTCTGGACGCATGCTGTTTGCAGGCTCGCAGGTGTTCTGGCAAGCACGACGCTCATCTGTCAGAGCATTGTCCCGATGTGCGAGCGGTCTTCATGATAAGAAATCGTCTCGTCTGCCTATCTCTCGGTTACTGCGCTGCTGCTGCTGGTGACGCTTGGGGTTACACATCAGAGTTCGCCCACGGCCAAGGGAGGGAGGGAGGGAGGAGGGAGGGAGGCGGGAGGGCGGGAGGGAGGGGGGAGGGGGGGAGGGCGGGAGGGAGGGAGGGAGGGGGGGAGGGAGGGAGGGATGGAGGGAGGGAGGGGGGGAGGGGGGAGGGAGGGGGAGGGAGGGGGACAGGGGAGGGGAGGGGAGGTGCTGATCGGCGGGCGTCGGCAGCAGCCACAGGATATCGCACACACCTTTTCCTGCTGGCCATGAGCAGGCTCCGAAATCCCACGGGCGGCCCGGCAGCCCTGAGCCAGAACGCCTGCGGAGGCACGCGTTCAACATTGCCTCCATTCTATCAAGAAACAAAAGAACAGGCTCTGCACGGGCTGCCTCGACTCTTCGAGTTTTTCGACTGCTCACGCTCGTCCCCACTTGCGCCTGCAACCCTTGCCGCTCTCAAACTTCACCATGTTCATATCCTCATCGACCAGGCCGACTGCCTCGAACTCTCCATCTGCTATCTCGTTGGCCGTCATTGCGCCGAAGTCTTCGGCCATTATCCTCAGGAACTTCACGCGCCAACTCGGGTACTCGGCCAGTTCGGTCGTTCCGCGTATCGTGATGTTGCGAATCGCCTCGTGGTAACTCTCCTCCACCAGTACGCTGGCGAAGACTTTGAACTCGGTGATGGAGCTCACTTCGTCTGGCTCCTCCTGCTTGACGTAACTGCTCACGGGGGTTTCTGGGAGCGCATCGAGTAGGTCCTCCGTGCCCGGCGCTACCGCCAGCAGCCCCGACCGACCTGACCTCATCAGTGGGCGTAGACCCTCTCGAGCTGCTGGAGGTTGTCCATTCCCTTCTCCGCGTGTGCCGCTGTTCCTTGCACTTGGATATTCTACAGGCTTACGCCACATCCGCCGACCCCTTTTTTCAGTGGCACTGGTTGCCATGAATTCTGGGTAAGCCGCGGCAGATTCGTCTTGCGGCCATCGTTGGCGTAATTCGACGGATTTTTGGGCCACTGAGGACCGTTTGGGGCAGACTTGGAAAGATGTTGAGACCCTGCTGCCCAGTTTTTGGGGCCCTCTCATCACCCTTTGACGCGTTCGGGCGGAGCGGGAGTGGTGGGTTGGGGGAGGGGGCGGGGAGTGGCTGGGGGTCAAATCTCCGGTTTGGGGGCCTCGGGAAGGGATTATGGGGATACTGGTATGAATCTTTGCCAAGACAGCCCGATGTGGCCAATCTTGGCCCGTTCTGTCAAAGTCTGGCCACGGAAAATCAAGATGTCGTTAGCATTGCTCGAGGCCTGTTAGGACCATTTGGAGCTTGGTGAGTGTCCTCAGAGCCCTGTGCGGAGCTTTCTGTAGAGCTCTCTGAGAGTTCTATGCAGCCCTCGTACAGATCATTATGGAGCCCTATGCGGAGTTTCTTGAGAGCTCTGTGGAGCTCTCCTAGAGCCGCTGAGAGCTCTTTAAGATCACTCTGAGGATTCTTGCAGAGTCCTCTGACAGGCCGGTCAGGGGTTTTTTGAACCCTTCTCAGAGCCTTCTGAGGAGCTGCTGAGAGCTGTTGTAGACCTCTTTTGGGAGCTTCTACGAGCTCTTGTAGAGCCCACAGACGAGTTTCGTAGAGCCTTTTGGAGGCCTGTGGAGCCGTCTCTGAGCGCTTTTGGGTTGTTTTGGGGGCTCCTCTGGAGCCTCTTGGGCCGTCTTTGGGCGGTCTCGGGGGCCTCTTGGACTGTCGTCAACGTTGTGAAGTTATCTGCTTGTTTTTGTTTGCTTATAGTGTACGGTGTCCTGACGAGTTTGACGACAGACCTCCAGGTGGCTCGCGGGCTATTTGGAGGCAGTGACGAAGTCTCATGGGCGCATCTTCGGGCGGAAAGCTCGAATGTTCGGTTTGGGTTCCCCCTCTTGGGCCACTCTTCGGGTTGGCTCCGAGCCCTTTTGGGCCTTTTTGGTGTTCTTGAGGCGGTTCGGCGCCTTATTGGGCCGTCTTGGGGGCATTTGGGGAGCTTCTTAGGCCTTTGTGGGGCGTTCTTGACGGCTTCGTGGGCCACTTTGAACGCAGCGATGGCTGAATAGTCGTTTATGGCAACGCTGTACGTTTTCCAATTGGAATGGGTTGCTTTGGGCTACTTGGGCCTTCTGTCGCTTGTTGGAGGATTTAGGGAGCGTCTTGGCGCCTTCGAGGGCTGTCTGGGGCCCATGTTGGTTGTCTGGGAGCGAGCATTGGGCGAGTTTGTGCTCTCTTGGTCCGTGATGGGGGAGTCCTGGGAGGCTCGAGGGGCTGTGTAGGAGCTCCAGAAAGAGCTTGGGGAGGTCGGGCCCCGCCTGGACGATTTCGGGCGTGGGCCAAATGGAGGACGACGTATGCGGGGGGGGATAATTTTCGGTTTACGCTCAGGAATCCTCAAGGTGGTGGCGACGGCGGCGACGGTGGGCGGATGTCCCGCGCAATGTCCCGCGCGACGCAAAAAAGGGCACCCTGAAGAGCGGCTTGCGCGGTGATCGCGGGGATCTCTTGGGGGGCTTCTCGCGGGACTCTTGGAGGCAGTTTCGGAGCCTCTTGGGATGCGTTTTGGGGCCGTTTGGGGCCCTCTTGGGGGCCTTTTGGGCCTTCTTTGGAGCGTCTTGGGGGCCTTTTGGGGCCTCTTGGAGCCTTCTGGGGCCGTCTTGGGGCGGAAGGCTCGGATTGTCGTTTGTAGCTCCCCCTGTTGGGCCCCTCTTGGGGCCGTCTTGGGGCCCTCTTGGGCCGTCTTGGGGGCCTCTTGGGCCGTCTTGGCGCCTTCTTGGGCCGACTTGGGCGCCTCTTGGGGGCGGTCTCGGGGTGCTCTTGGACCGTCTTCAACGCCGTAAAGGCCGAGAAGTCGTATATGATGAAAATGTACGTTTTCCATAGGAATTTGATGATTTTCGGCTCTTCTGCCCTTCGGAGGACTGTTCTTGGAAGCCTCTTGGGCCGTCTTGGAGGCCTCTTGGCTCGTCTTGGGGCCATCTTGGGCGTCTTGGAGCGCTCGTTTGGCGTCTCGGGGCCCTCGTGGGCCGTCTTGGAGACGTCTTGGGGCCTTCTTGGCCCGTCTTGGGCCCCTTTTGGGTCCAAGAGAGCCCGTGAGTCGCTCGCGCCGGGCGAGGGGGGGGGGCCCGGGGGTGGGGGGTCGAATCGTCGGTTTGGGGTCCCATGGGGGGGGTTAGGGGGGGAACTATCTCACACGCCTAGAGACCCACAAGGGGTCGGCGGATTTCCCGTGTTGATGTAGAACGTCAGTGTTAGGAACCCCCGCACCGGCAGCGCCACAAGACTCTCGCTCTTCACCTTCGCCCGAATCATCGTCCACGGCATGATCAGCGTTTCTGGCTCGCTCAGCGTTTCGATGAGGCACGCCACAGAGTCCACTGTTCCCGCCACGGCAAATTTCATCGTGGATCCCCGCTCCGGAGGTAGTAGTCTTTTGGTGGTTACAGCCCGCTGGATCTTGGGCCAAAGCCGCTACTGATCTGGTTTGACTCTGCGCCAGTTTACCTCTCTCTTGTCGCCTTCGTTTCTCGTCGGTTGCTCGTGGAAGATGTGTCGCTTCATCGGCCAGCTGATACCGTCCACCTCTCACCGTGGCTCGCAACATATCAATCGGTCTCGCCTCGTCCTTGGTAAGGCCATCGACAAACTGACAGGAAGTCGGTGCCCATCGAATCGTCGCCGATAATCGTGAAAAGGGACTCCCTGGTGATAATGGTATCGATCGCTGTCCTCTTATCTTTGACTGGGGCCCCCGATCCCGTGATGTTGTCGTACGCCGACTTACAGTCGATCACACACACCGAACCATTCTTGGCGAACGACTCCCCTCGACGAACCGCATCGAACTCGACATCCATCGCCTCCTGCAACAAGCACATCATCCATTCGTGATGCCCCAATCCGTCGGCCAAAATCTGGACCTCTCCCGCTAGCGTAGCAGCCACCACCCGTTTCAATCGACACGAGCGCCACACCAATGGGGTCCACAAGGTCTATTGATCTCCGAGGGCCTCTCTATTCACAGCTGCGATGACGTAACCTGTTAGAGTCCCTTGTCTGCTTGCATGAGCGTGGTATTCTCGACTGGGATAGCATGGAAATTGATACACATGTCCGCAAACTGACGAGCACGACGAATCATCTGATTAATCAACTTTTGCGTAGCCACCGTCGGACCACCCATCTGCTGTTGCGCCAAGTTCACCTGCACAGACAGGTCGAGGCGAGTCTGCGACTGGAGCCAGTCGCACTCGCCCAGCGCCTTCCTGCACGCCGAGATCTCTTTTGGACTCAGCTCGCGCTCGCCTGGGGCTGCTTGGTTAATCTTCAGCATCTTCATGCCTTGCGCAAACGGCTGCTGGGACACCGTGATGCTGAGGTCTTGGTTTTGCTT